CCTGAAGCCTTGAGAAATCTATGCAAGAGTTCTACTAATGAGCTACATTACTGGGCTAATGATTTAATTTTTAATGATCTCACAAATTCAAACCCTTCCCTGCCCCACCTTTTCTTAAAGATGAACCTACTTATGTCTTAGTAGATTATTCAGATACATCATGTGCATATAGTTAATAGTTTAATCTTTCTTAGACTTGGGAAGACGTTTTCCAAGTCTCTGTGAGATAATATGTGTGTTGGTCCTGCTGTGTTTAGAAGGTCTTGCTTCCTTGATGCCCTCCATCCCCTCGGGCTCTACTAATCATGATGCTTCCTCTTACACAGGGTTTTCTGAGCCTTAAGGATAGAATCTTAATGGAGACATAACATTTAAGATTGAATGTTCCAAAAGTGCTCACTCTCTGCTCGTTGTCCAGTTGTAGGTCTCTGTATTATACAGTTCCCATATTCTCCAGGAGAAAGCTTCTCTGATGATGTTTTAGCATGACAACTATATATGATTAAATCAGAATGTCATTACACTTGCTCAGCCATGTTCATTGCTGTCAAATACATAACAGTCACATATCAGAGACAATCTAGATGTCCATCAACAGATAAACGTATTAAAATGTAGTTGATTTTTGCAATGGAGTCTTACTCAATTCTAAAAAATAAAATCATTGTTTTTTCAGGTAAACAGATTGAGCTGGATAAATTCATCCTGACTGAAGTAAATCAGACACAAAAGACACATAGGATCTGTATTTTTTTAAGTAGTTTGCAATCCATATAACCATGGAGTAAAGGATTGTGGAGGATGGAAAGATTTACCCTTGAAGAGGACCAGAATAATTATAGATGGATTGAGGGGGAATGGATGGATCAAATAGGGAGAGGGAAGGAAGAGAAGGGATAAGGTAGAGGTATAGGATGGGACAGCTGAGACTAGGGTCATTTGAGGGTTCTGTGTAAACATCATACACCTAGCAGTTTATTTAAAGTGTATATCATTTGAGGGTTCTGTGTAAACATCATACACCTAGAAGTTTATTTAAAGTGTATAAATGTATGAAAGAAATATAAATGAAATCAACAAATGACAGAAGAGGTGAAGCTCCCGTTGGATATCTCTCTTTCAACTGAAATACACAGTGCAAAGAATAGGTAACATATAATTGAGTTGTCAGCCAAAGTGCCTCCCTGGGAATTCTCAAACAACCAAAGCTATTGCTAAATATATTGGCTACTTTCTACAAACTACTGGAGACAATTCTGAAGCCAATATCTAAGAAGCTCATTGAACAAGGAGAAGTTAAGGTTATATGTACCTAGAGCCTTAATACCTACTGACTAGTGTTCACGGTAGTTAAAGTTACACTAGAGACTATGAGAGGAGAAAGGTACACACTAACACAGGTACAAACCCTACCATCAATAATGGTGACCAACAAGATAACGCTAGTGCTCTAGTAATGAAAACAAAGCAATAGCTGATTGGATTTATCCACTCATGAAATACACCTGAATTTCTTGGATAGCCAAGAGGCTGCAATTAGATAGTCCAGTGACTTATGGTAAAGCAAAATATTACTGTTCTACTGGAGAGACTAAAAATTTAAATGATCATCAAAGCAACTACTTCATTTGATAAATAATAATCACAGAGACATTTAAATTGACTTCGTTTTATTATAAAATGCTGATTACTTTCCTACCTCACAGCAAAGATCATCTTCCTTTGCAATGTGTTGAGTAGTAATGGGAAATCTGAATATAATAACCAAGTTCACTCTACATCAGATCCCCATAGTGAACAGGCCAGTTTTATCAATTTTTACTTGAGGCAACTTATATATCTATGTTTTAGCATTTTCACAAGTAACCTTGAGGATATTATACATAACTGATTACATTTCATAGCTGAATAATGACGAAATTCCTCCTATATAATATTCAGAAAATCAGGTTTACTATGAGAAGCATAATATTAAATTTTGTAGCCATATTCCCTGAAGCATAGTTGAGAATTAGAACTATGTAGTATATAAAGCTGTTTTGTATTTTTAACTGAGAGGGAAGGTCAACATAACTTAATTGTATTTGCTGAGTAGACTTTTATAGGAAGATATATATTTAATGAAATAGAATAGAAGCTCATCTTCAGGAATCATTTTTTTTCCAGAATGCTGAACACTAGTCAGATAGTTTTGTTTTTATACAACTGACAAAGTGAAATATTTTCTTCTCTACTGGGCAATACTTTGAGATATGGTTTTTCTTCTATAATAATCTATTTTTTACTCCCACTTTGTTGGAGTTGAGATGTTCTGGATAAGTTTTGGAACTGGCTAAAACTTGTACCTGGACTATATAATATATTTATGTGACATATGACAGTTATTGCTAGTCATCTCAATGCATGAATGATTCCCAAACTGTCCCCCTATAATCCAGGTAGGTGATTGTTTCCCATCCATGAGTGGAAGGAGAGTTAAAGACAGTAGAATACTGGAATCTTGCCGAATATCCAGGGTAACTAAAAGAGTAAACTCAAGGATCAGACAAAGACACTTCAGAAAAAAAAATAAGAGTGTTTGAGAGAGAGAGCCCTTAAATTCCTACCTCCACAGGCAACCATAGAAATGAGTGTACCCATACATGCATACAATATACATTCATACACAAACATGCAGATAAACACACACCCACTTAAATGTGAGTTGTTTTTAAAATGTGAAACTATTTTATATTCAATGATACTCATAATACTTATATTGGTTCTGATCTTTTCTTCATCTAAATAAATTCATCTATACAAAATTCTGTGTTCAGTTTAGTGTTCTTTATCTTGAAGCTTCAGCCATAGATTACACAAGACCTGCCAAACATTATATTTAGACTCTCCTCCAACTGTACCAACATTAAAGACTCTTTCAAGCATCTGAACATAAGCTCCAGCTCAAGCAATTTAGTCTACCTTTGAAACACAGAGATAGTAAACATGAGAAAAATACAACATCACATCACGTGTTCCACTGGCTTTTTACTTTCTTTTACAGGCTCTTTGAAAAGTTTTACCCAAGGCTACATTGCAAACCCAGGGAATGAGTATCCTCTCTTGACTTGTCAGAGCTACCAGGAGGGCACTTTGGAAGAAAGGAACACCACAAAGAACAAAGAAATGAATACACAAGCAACTTGCAAAAGCACAACAAGAATTCAAAAGCAGATTGAAAGCAAAACCATAAAGAGACTTTTGGGAATAAGAATACTGGAGTTGTTTTTAGTGCTTAAAATAATTCTCCACCTTACTCTACTCCCACTATCTTCATGTATGATTTTATTTTAAAAAGCAGTTTATATACAAAATACATTTTTTTCATGGTAACAATATGCAAATACCTGAATGAAGTGTTGTGCCATCATTCTGGGCAAACACATGTGGATGTATAAGACATCCACAAGCTTACACAAACAAGACGGATATATATATATATACTTTAAGGTTTGATGCAATAACAGTGTATATGACTTCTATTGATAGGGAAATTTTATAGGTCACTCCTACAAAGAATTCAAGACAGAGCAAGTCAAGTATAAGAATATATAATTTTGTCGTTAATGTTATATTTCAGAAAACAGTGCACATAAAGTGGAATCAAAACATAATCATTACCATATTTTTAATATTATGGCTATGACTCCCAATTTCAATGATCTGAGGCTTAAGTTGTCAAAGACATTATCCTGTGTGGGAGAGTGCCGTTTTGAACTATAATGCTAAGTCCAACAGCTAATGAACTGGCATGCTGTGGTAGGATAGCAGATCAGACACTGAAGAGTAGAGTCCAAGGATCTCTGCCTCCTGTAGGTTTTCTATAGCAATTGGCAAGATAAATAGTCTTACAGCTGCACACAGGGAAAATATGTATCCTAGATTTGGGATAAAGATAGGCTTTCTCCTAGTGAGATGCAAATTCTTATCAGGAATATGTAAGATGTATCATTATGTTTCCACCATAGAGTAGGAAGGACTACTACAACACCCAGCCCGAGATACCATGATATAGATATAGCTGATCTGTATACCCCTTGATACCCATGCCCATGTTCTTTCCAGTGAGGTGGGTTACATAAACCATAGATAGAGAAAGGATGGACAAGTGTGTTAGTCTAGAAGAAAAGGCAAGTAATTTGGTGAATACAAGTCTGTTCTGAGAAGCCAAGGTATGATAGATACATAAGAGTCATGGTTCTGAGTTCTAGATATATCATCCATCATTCTTTTGGACTTAACTTACAAAGATTCAAAGATCAAGCTGAAAAGAACATAAGTATATTGTACTCTAAACATAAGACCCTTCTGAGCACATAGAAAATAACTATACTAGTCATGAAAATGTGAGACTAGTTCTGAGTAATAGAGAACAACTATACTTATGATTAGGAAGCCTTTTCTAAATGGTAAAATAGGAGAGACCTGAGTGTCGAAGAGAATGAAAACTCCATTTATAGTGTCACAACTCTGGCATTTATTGTAGTTTAAATGTGAAGTTTGCTACACAGGCTCATGTATTTTTGCACAGTTGTCCCCTAGCTGGCAGCAAACACTTTAGAGGTGGCAGGGCCATTCAGAAATGTGATCTACCTGGAGGAAGTTGGATGCAGCAGAAAGCAGTGGTGTTAAGAGTTGTAGGCTGGTCCAGTTTTCACATGAATTCCTTGAACAAATCATATATAATAAGGTTAAACATAAGGCTCCCTTTCCCCAAGCTTCAAGCCATCCCTGCTCCATGTCTCCCTGACCTTGATGAACTCATACCCTAAAACCAGATATCACAATCCAACCTTCCTCCCTTAAGTTTGTTCATCCAGCCATTTTGTCAGAGTAACAAGTAGGTAGTCCACCACTTTAATACTAAAAGAGCTAAATCTGTTGGTGACAAATGAATACTAATTAGGACTCCCATGCTTCTGGTTTTTTTTTTTTTTTTTTTTTTTTTTTTTTTTTTGGTGTGTACTAAGCTATTGCATTTTATGGGGACAAAACCAGACACAAGGAAAAAGGAGGGGGGGGATTAAGTATGGCAGTAAAAATAGTATTTTATTCCTCCCCTCCCACCCCCACCCCCGGCAACCCCCAGTACACTTTTCCCCTCTCATTCCCACAGCAACGCTACAATCAGAAAAAAATAAGTTTCGGGGGGCAGGAATAGGAGGGGGAGGGGAGATGGGTAAAAACAGTCAAATCACAACAGGAATTTCCCCAAACAGGTTCATTCCCCTTAGTCATCCTCTTCACCCTCATCATCCGGTTCTCGTTTTCGCTTCTGACTCCCTTCTTCTTCACCAGCTTCTTCTTCGTCTTCCTCATCATCCACTTCTCCGTCATTATAACCTTCTTCATCCTCCTCCTCCTCGCCACTCACATCCTCTTCCTCCCCTTCTTCCTCCTCATCTTCTTCCTCTTCATCTTCCACTAGCTGGGCATATTCATCATACTCCTCCTCATCCTCATCTTCCTCGTCGTCATCCTCCACATAGCCCTCAACATCAGAATCAGGGGCCTCCTTGTTGTCCCTGTCATAACCATCAAGGTACATGACCTGGGGCAGGAGCTTGAACACGTTTTCTCGGTAGGCGTTCAGGTTGGTCACCTCACAGTTAAACAGGTCTAGGCTCTTGAGATTCTCTAACTTCTTCAGCGGCTCGATTGTGCTGAGATCTTTTATTTTGTTGCCACTTAAATTTAGATGCTTAAGGTTCGGACATTTCTCTGCCAATACTTCCAGGTCCCCTGAGATTCTGTTTTCACTTAATTCAAGCTTCTTGAGTTTGTTTAACTTGGGTAAGTTGGAAATGGAGGTGAGACCTACGTTGATTGTACTTAGGAATTCCAGTTCTTCAAACTCATCCGTGAGGCCTTTGATTTTGCCTTCAATTGACTTACAGTTATCCAGGACCAGCTCTTTCACATCAGAGGGCGTCCTGTTCCGCAGCTCTAAATAAATCCGTTTGTCCATCTCCATCTCTCGCGCTCTCTCTTTCTGCAGAGGATCCTGCGCCAGCGGAATTCAATCAATAAACCCCGAACCCACGGCCGCCCCATGCTTCTGTTTTTAACCTTGTTTTATATCTACTTTTACTTGGGAAGGCTATCTTCGCACAGTAGATTAGGCATTGCACAGAGGGGAACTGAGAACAGTTTTCTGATAAAAGCTATTCTTAATACTGGAAATAATTGTCAAAAGCTGCAGGTATTTTCTTCATGCATTCAAAACAAATACAATCATATCTAGAAAAAATCATCGTAGACTTGTATAAAATAGTTGTTATTTTATTTATACTTGATTTCAAGTTATCAGCACAATAATATCCCATACCAGTAGTCATCTCTTCCAAATGAAGGCTCATGGTATAGATTCATGATTCATTGTACATCTTGTATATTGCTCTGTAACTTGTAATCCTTGAAACTCCTTGATTGGAAAATTATGAATTTTTATAATTGTGCAAACCTATCATATTTATGTGTGAGGGTACTTATCATTTCAACATCATTTCACCTCTTTATAATCCATAAACAGTAAGGGTGGAATCAAAGTCTACCTTAAGATCCCAATTATCTTGAAATATGCTGCCTAACATAGGTAACAGCATGGAATTTATTCTATTACTAGTAAATGCATTGATGAATTTTAGCTTATTATCCATATTGCCTTACTTGTGTATGCCAGTATATTCAATGAAATTAATTTTTTTCTGTCATGAACTAAATAATCTTAGTTTTATAGAATTAATACTGTAATATCACCATCATAATCATTAGTATCATCGTTAGTATTATTCTCTCATACAACACATCCTGACCACAGTTTCCCCTTCCTCCACTCCTCTTAGTTCTGCCTTTCGTCTCCTTTTCCACTCTTCCTTCATTTCCCTCAAGAAAAGAGCAGGCCTTCTTAATTCATAGTATATACTCATTTAATACTTGATGACTTACAAACTTTTATTAGGGTACTGTTCAGAAACTATGTCTTTTGCTTGAGGAAATAGACATACTTTTTTAAAGTTTATTTTATAGAAGCTCTATACAAATACATCAGACAGACTTTTTTCTTGGGAGTTGAACAGAAAAACAAATAAGAAAATTCCTGTGACCGTGGGCCATTTTGATTTGGGAGTTTTCTTTCCATCAACATTTCCAATTAATGTTCAAGAAATCCTGTTTGTCTTTGCACAATCATGTCAGTGGTGTGTTTCATTCTCTAAAAGGGTAGAATTTGACTCTAGAGAGATAGAATCAGACATACAAAAGACAATAGAATAAAATATTTCTCTTTCACATCTCCAGTTTAAGAAATGAAATATACATCAAGCAGAGTTTTGAGTTCTGTATTTCTGTCTAGTTATTATGCCCATCAGGTGCCCGCAGAAGCAAATAAGATGAACAGCAACCACAGGAAAGCAAATCAAAACAAAAGGCAAGGCTGATAGAAAGACAAGCCCAAGAATCTAACAAATGTGAATTATTTAAAATCACATACTTTTTTCTAGGATCCACATCTCTGAGTGAGAATTTTAGGTTTGTTGGGTAATAAGTATCCCACTGTATTTGCAGTGTGGCTTGCATCTGTAACCCAGAATAATCTCCTTTAGGTTAGTATATGTTGCCATATAACACAAGTAAAGCCGAACATTTTTACTTTTACCAGTTTCCCATCGGTGAATGGAGGCTGTTTCTCTCTGTCTTCACAGTCACAGTAAGGTTGCAGTGCCCATAGACCGGTAATACTACCTTCAAAACTCTAGTTTTGAGTCCTTTGGATTTATACCCAGGTTGCTAAGTCACAGGTTGCTAAGTCACATGTTAGTTCTAGGGTAAACGTTACAAGAAAACTCACAAGTTGAGACATCTCATAGTTTTCCTTTGTATTTCAGAGACACTTCTTGATTATGAGTCACCTCTTGTTGGCTAGGGATTTGTTTTCCTTAAGAAAAATCTAATCAGTGCTTTTACATATTTTACCACCTGATATATATGTAGATTTTTGTCATTTTTGTTGTACTAGGGAAAGGCTGGGAGAAACTGAGGATGAGGGTGACCCTGTAGAAGGACCAGCAGTATCAAATAACCTGGACCTCCAGGATCTGTCAGACATTGAGCCACCAATCAGTCAGCATTTACCAGCTGATATGAGGTCCCCAACACATACACAGCAGAGGACTGCTGGGTCTGGGTTCAGTCAGAGAAGATGTACTTATCCCTCAAGAGACTGGAGACCCCCAGGAGTCTAAAGGTCTGGTTGGGTGGGGGATGGGGGTGGAGGGTGGGGACATCCTCATAGAGACAGGGGGTAAGGAGCAGGTATGGAATGTGGAACAGTTGGAGGGTGGGCTTGGGGGAAGGGATAAATCTGGAGTGTAAAAAATAAGTAAATAAATAAATGATAAAAGAAAAGAAAGTACTTGATACATTTAGAGACCGCTTTTATCACATCTATGGCTTACAAAAGTATTTCTGTCATAAGAATGCTTTTTATTTTTGATTTTTACTTCAATGAATAGAATAATTATGTGCATGTAAATGCATGTATATGTGTCTGTGCATTTGTTGTGTGCATGTATATGTGTGCATATGGTGTGTGTGTCTCTGTGTGTTTGTGTATGTGTGTTTGTCATGTGTGTTTGTCTATTTGTGTGTGTGTTTGTGTGTGTGTATGTGTTCGTGTGTGTGTGGGCATGCTCATGCACAGGGGTGTGTACTCTACAGTTTTGCATATTTTTTGGTTTTGTTACCTATGCATTTGGTTTTCTGTTCAAGAAACTTTCAAGAACAATGTCAAGAAATTTTCTTTACACTTTTTTCTAGTTCCATGCTGTAAGGATGGGTTAAGGTGACCTTCCTCTCTTTGAATTGGGTGTCTCTTATAAGAAAGTTTTCATGTTTTCCCAAATGAAAATTTAGTTCACTGTTAGATTTTAAAAATTACTTGTATTATGTTCTGGTATATTCTTTTCATACATATAATCAAGTTTCTACAGAGAAACAGAAGCAGTGAAACGTACAGTAATGTAAAGAAAGAGATTCACTATGGTAATTGACTCATGAGACTAGAGAAAAAAGGAAATCACAAGGTAAGTATCATCCTGCTAGAGAGCATCATCAAAGATCTAGTTCATGCCAAATTCAAAAGCTTAAAATAATTGAAGGAGGTTGAAGATAAAGACAGTGGGATCCGTTCTATTGTGTAAAGCCCTGAGAACCAGAAATGTGTGGCTTCAGAATAAAAGAGGACATTCAGCTCAAAATGCAGAGGATGCCCTCCCTTTCCCAACCTTGTTGTTTTAGATTGACCTCCAGTAAACCAATAAATGGTCACTCACCTTGGTGCAGATGTGTTGCCATTATTTGTTATAGTTCTCTAATGTACATCACTCTAGTAATCACTCTAACAGTTACAATGGGCAAGCTTTTTGACTCAGTCACATAATTATGCATTAGATCACTGAAGTTGATACCTTAAATCAAGCAGCTAAGTATCTCATTCTTGAGATCCTGTAATAGCCCGTAAATCAAAGTTATTATTTGACAAATGTTAATGTTTTACAGAAGAGAGAATTATAAGATTGAATCTTATTTTTTTTTCCTTTCTGATACTGAAATTATTGTTCTACCTGGTGTACATCACGCTGCCATTCACAATGATAACAGCAAAAACAACCTTACAGTTCAAAAACAACAAGTGTTGTAACAGTCAAAGTTTCTGAATCTTATTGAGGGCATACTTTTAGAGGCAAGTAACATAGAAAACTCAGAGTAGCTTTGTCTTTGCATTATAAAAATAAAGTTATGTCTCATATAGTCTCACTGCTGAGCTATAGATTCAGATATCTATACTCAAGAATAATTTGTGTGCTGTAGAATATTAGAATATGTGTAATATATATATATGTGTGTGTGTGTGTGTAATATTAGAATATATGTGATATATATATATATATATATATATATAACATATGTGTGTGTGTGTAATACCTCTTAGCCTTCATATTACTGATATACATAGTATTTTTTATTATTTTTTATTTGTTGAGATTATAGTATAATAACAACATTTCCCCATCGAGTCTCTTCCTCTAAGAATCTCATATATCCCTGCTTGCTCTCTTTGAAATTCATGGCTTCTTTATTTTACTAATTGTTGCTATATTTTTGTGTGTATATTCGTGTTTATTCCTAAGTACAAAAATACAAGCTCAGTGTGTATATTACTAACATCTACTAGCAGGTAAACCAATCCATTGTATAGACAGTGTGAGAAGTGGTGTACTGTAACAGAACACCAGAAGTCAAGTTCAGTTTCTTGAAAGTCCAGAGGTAATAAATCTGTACCAGCCTATTTTATATAATGCTCTGCTAATTCATCTCTTGAAATACGACCTTCTCCCTTTTCATGCTATATGTATATATCGGGATATGATATAATATATAAAATCAGAAATACATAGCTAACATTTTTTGCTCAAAACTACTGTTATTTTGCTCTTTCTGTATAGTGATATACAAATCATGCTGTACCTATTAATCAGTGTAAATAAACCAGTCTGGGAGATAAAGAATATATCTTTATTATGTCACACACACACACACACACACACACACACACACACAAATACAGTAAGCACATACAATCATTTGAGATAAGGAATATGTACATATATGCTTTTATCTGTGTCTTAAGTCATAATATGAGAATGTGTTCCTGGCTTTTATTTTGCCATTAAAATCATCACCACAAGTTCTTGGAAGGTAAAGTCAATTGTAAAATTTTTAAAGTTATGTCTTGGTTTGTGAGGATATGGCTGTGATATCAATGTGAAGTCAAGGGATGTTGTCTTCAAGAAAATACCCCAGCATGACATCTGATCGGACATGATCACAAAGGTGAATATGATTTTTGTCATTAAAGTCACATTGTCCTTTGTCCAATTATTTTCTGTCTCAAGATGGTAAGCTCTGTGGGAAAAGAAGAGAAAAATATGATGCCAACTGTTAGCTGAGGTGGCCAATTTACTAGGAATACTATTGAATACT